TTTAAGAATTGAAAGAGATGTTTTTAAAGACCAAATATATGACAGCTGCCTTGTTTTTACTAATGCTTTCTCGATTAGATTGTCAATAAATAAGTGGCTCAAATCTTCTGATGATGACATAAAATGTAGGCTACCAATATGATGGCAAAGTTGAAACATACTGGGAAGTTGTTTAGGAGTAAAGCCATGGCTGTTGTGTTAAATCCGATATAAGATACGGTTTATTGAGGTTGTGTTTTTGGATATTTATGAGATGATGCAAAGGATCATATTAAAAGGATCACGCTTTGTTTCTGATTTTGTGAATGATATACAAGAAATAATTTGGCAGATTACTTTAAAACATTTGTTCCTTTCTTCTCTGAAAGCATCCCAACTTAAGAAAATTTGCCTCAAAATTGGCAGATGAATATAAGTTGTGAGAGCAATTGAAGTCGGATTGGATAGTTACTGGATAATCCTGTAGACAAGATAAGACTTAGATATTTTGACTTGGTGGAAGGCACATCGGTGTACATATCCTCTATTGTCTTTGGTTGCTAGAGATATCTTCGTATTCCATTATCCACAGCTGCATCTAAGTCTCCTTTCAGTATGATGGATTTTTAAGTCCACATCGTAGTAGACTTCAGCCAGACAATTGGAGGCTGTAACATGTACTCAAATTGGTTTTGGGGTCAACACCAAGGTATAAATTACTTCAACAATCTTTTCATAGTAATTATCATTAACTAGTTCATTCTTATTCATTGTTTTCTCTTTTCATAGGTCACATTCCTGAATGTCAGATACTTCCTAGGATGGAAGTTAAACATGATGAAGGGCTATTCGGACCGAGTTGAGATGTATGTTGAATATGATTCCACTTTTAACTTCTATTTTGATCTTTAATCTTCATCTGGTGTGCACTAATTTTGGATTTGGAGGGTGTTATGTTGCTAGTTTACTATTAAATATAATATATTTTGATGTATTAGGTCTAAAAATTTACTAACTATTTTCACAGACTATTTCTGGATCTTGTCTTGCTCAGCCTGGTTTTGACAGTAAAGCTTCACTTTCATTTCAAAGTTACATGAAACTGGTTTCTTTGAAACCTGAACTTCATTTATATATTCATGTTCTTATAATTTCTTATATGTCTGGTTATTCATTTCAAGGGTCATTATAACATTTCTTCGTGAGCGATATCTCAATAGCTTTTCGTTAATGAATTCAAATGATGTTTTGATAACATGTATGATTTTTGATATGGTATAAGGTAATGCTTGAATTTTCAGTATCATCATGTAAGTGATTTATATAATTTAGTTGAAAGCAATATAAAAATATCGTAACTATTTATCTGGTAATAGTTTTTCCCTTTTGTTTCATTGAGTTAGGCTCTAAAAGTTAAAACTTGATGTTATCTTGCATAATATCGCCTATATTATAGAATATAAATCCTTTTACTTGATTTATTGGTGTACAATAAAAATCGTAAGACTCTTTAGGAGGTGATCCGTGAAAGGAAAGTGCAAGAGTTGTTAGTATTCGTTCTTCATGGTCGACGATGAAGAAGGGATTATCCATCCTTGCACAAATTGGTTCGGAGTGGAGTTACTGTACCCTGATGAGTCCATGGCAGGACAAACTAGTAGACTTAGCCATGAATGTCATACGTGTAAGCTTACCCCTTCTCAAGTGTGGATGTTGGGTGCAGCACGGGCCTTCTGTTGCGATGAAACTCTAGGTTGGTGACAACGAATCATTATCATAAATATCCTCCCCATTTGAAATATTAAATGTATTTATATCATATATGTTTCATGTATTATTGTAACATGTATTATTAACACAAAAAATTAAATAATCATATTGGGACCACATCATAGAAACTTCAACCAAACACATTGAACGCTATAATATGCACTCAACATTGGTTTTCGAAAGGTATGAAATCACTTCAATAATTTATGCACATTAGAACATTGGTTTTGTGGAGTTTTTCTGCTAACATGGTCATTCTTCATTCATTGTTTCTGTGTACTTAGGTTACATTCCTGAAGATGAAATCGATACTGGGTCGGATTCCGATGATATTTTTGATGATAATGGTGATGATGAATGGCTATGAAACCAAGTTGAGGATGCCATTGGAATGTTGACTTCTTTTTGATATCTGTTCCTGCAGCTTCATTTCTGGTTCTGACTTTTGTTACGTGAGCTTGTAGGGATTATAACTTGGGATCTTTAATCTCTACTTCTGCGTGAGACTTTTGGGTTGGGGATTTAATTTTGTTATGTTGACTGGGATTTGTTGCTAGTTTAAGTTTCATGAACCTGTAAATGGTGTCTAGATACAATCTGGAAAGTTTGCTCTTTAAATGTATGTTATGCTTGCATAATACCATCTATATTTAGAAATATAAATTCTCTTTTACTGATTTGTTGTTTTACAATAAAATATTCACCAGACTCTTTAGAGGTGTCTGTGAAAGGGGAGTGACAAAGCCGTTACTATTCACTCTTCATTGTCTACGATGATGAAGAAGGGATTAAACCATCCTTACAAATTGGTCGGAGTTGGAGCAACTTCCCTGATGGTCTATGGTGGATGAAACTAGTAGACCTTGAGCCAATGAATGGTGTACGTGTAAGCTTACCCCCCTCTCAGTGATGTTGGGGTGCAACACCACCTTTCTACTTCGTTGAACTCTAAGCCTGTATAACAATCAATATCATAAATATCCTCCTCATTTGGAATATTATAGTAAATGTATTCATAATTTCATATCATATAGTTTGTCATGTATTACTTAACATGTGTTATTAACACAGAAAATTAACTAAGAGTAATACTACACATACTCATTTTCATATAACATTTTTCATATTGACAAGTTATGATTGGTTAATTTAAAGTTAAAATTAACTTTTATCCAGTCTATCTATCACATAATGTTGTATGAAAATATTATATGAAAATGATATAATGTTATTATTCATTAAATAATCATGTTAAGTATTTAAAATTGTATTTGTTTTACTAACACTAAATATTGGGTTATTATAATGTATATTGTGTTAGATTTTCTCATCTTCTAAATTTTGAGAGTGACTTTCAGTCAAACCTGTTTATCATGTTATCATAGCCACGTTATTGCCGAACTTATGCCGGTTCCGCAGATATATAAACTAAATCAAATCCTCAATAATTTAAGTCGAGTTGTTGATACTCTGCAGGGACATACTCTTTAAAACAGGGAGATATTAAGCAAACACGTATTAAGCGAAGTGTTTTTAAAAGAATCACATCACCTGCGGACTTTCCCCGGGTAGCCGGGCCGGGCATTTAAGTCTCCACCCCCGGCACTAATTAAATGAAGTTATTCATTTACTGTTTTCTTGAAAACGATAACATTTTCAGGAACAACAAGCCCTAAAGACTACACATTTGAAACACGTAGCTCATTATCATCAAGTCTCGGACTCATAACTCAAAAACTCAGCCTGCACCGCTGACGACGAAACCCACTTCCACCGCCGTGCTGTCCACTCAGTTGGTTAGTTTAGTTACTGTTTTGTATTGTTTGAGTATTATTGATTGCAAAGTGAAGAAATGTTTGTGTTTGATTTGAAAGTTTTGAACTTTTCAGAAGAAAGTGGTTCATTGTTTTAGATGTAGGGGTCAAAATGCAAGCTTTGAAGTGTTGTTGTTTTCTTACTATGTTTTGTAGGAAACAATGTGTGATTTAGAAGAGGAAGAAGAAATTGGTGAAACAAAGTCACCAATTGTGATGATGAAGATTTTGAGATGGAGGATGAATGGAGATATCTGATGGTGTAAATGTAAGAGAAGAAGGACATTTTTCAGAGAAGAAATAGGAATCTAAAGCTTTTTACATAAATGTTGCTCGACAGAAGATGGCAAAAATGGTGATAATGCATGATCTTCCTATCTCTTTTTCCGAGTTTACGGGGTTTAAAAACGCCATGCAATATCTTCAACCCTTGTTATTGCTAACCCTGTAACCACAGCCATGGTTGAAGAGGACATCTTAAAGTTGTATGAAGTTGAGCAACCTAAATATGAGATTGTTGAAGAGCAATGGGAGTAAACTTGCAATTAGTGTTGATTTCTTGACTGCTGATGAGGAGAATGCGTACTGGCTGTTACTGCAGGTTTGTTGATGAGTTGTGGGTGTTACAGAGTCGAATTATGAGGTACCCTCTTGTTTTCTTAGACGTTTTGTTATGGATGCTTTTTCTAATCAATTTAGTTGTAATTATGTGTTTTTATTCTCTCTTATGTTTTAAATTTATTAGGTTAATACATTTGCGATGTCCATACCTGCAAAAACGCTTTATAATGAGTTGATCGATTTTTGATGGACTGGAAAGTGGACCGGAAATTGTCTGCTAAAACTATTGATAGTTGCTCCACCAATGATGCTATGATGTCAATGTGGATAGAAAGAAATTCTTTTGTTCGAAATTTATTGTTGATCCTAAGGTCATGGGTGGAAGGTTCTTTCCTATAGGTGCTGTGCTCTAATTTAAATGTGATAATAAAGGATGAGATGAAGGGGGTCACATGTCATTCAGAAAATTAGAAATAGTTTTCACTTTTGGAGATCACATCTAAAAGACGAAGAATTTTAAGCATTGTGCACATGTTTTGGGAGTTGCAATACTAAAAGGTGGGTGCCTGATTTTGACCAAATGGAGTTCAACCTATGTGATGCTTGGTACTGCGTTGGAGTATAAGGATGTTTTTATTCGTTTGACGGAGTGGGATGAAGAATATGTAACTTTCCTACAAGTTCAGAATGGGAGAAGGCAAAAGAACTGTGTGACACTTGGAAGTGTTTTATAGATTGATAGAGATGCTTTCTGGGACCAAACACTTGACAGCTACGCTTTTGTAATGATCTGTGAAATTAGATTGCGTAAACGTGTAGGAAGAAGGCCACGTGGGGATCCAAAGCCTTCGCTAAAATGGCTCCATATAACCTTCAACACTTCTTTCGATTTTACTTACAGAGACTCAAAACAAATCTAATTGAAGCAGTCGGTTACTTCTCAAAGAAACTCTTCGTATTTTATTTGTCGATCACTTGAAACGTTTCATCAAAAATGTCTCGTGGCACAGCGACCTTCATAGACATCATCTTGGCCATCATCTTGCCCCCCCTCGGCGTCTTCCTCAAATTTGGCTGCCAGGTTCGATCATATTTCCGTATATGCTTAATGCTTATTTGTGTAATTTTATTCAAGTTTTTTTGCATACTGAAATATCGGGTGTTTGTTTCCGCAGGCTGAGTTCTGGATATGTTTGATTCTGACACTCTTCGGTTATCTCCCTGGAATTATCTATGCTGTTTATATCATCACCAAGTGATCATAAACTTCCACTTTCTGTAAGCACCTCCCTTCCTCTCTATACCAGACTATATAGCTATGCTGTAGACATACTGGTTCGACAACGTCACCATGGTATAAAGAGATATTCTTTTTAACAAATAATTAACACAAATTATTCTTTGGTTTTTAGGCAGATGGAGAGATCAAAGGTGAAAGTTTGAAGATGTAGAGGGGTTTATTATGTTCCTTGTTAAAGTACTTTGTATCAGTGTTCTTGATTTCTCTGTTTTATTTTGTCTCTACTTAATGATATTTGTCGGTTTATTTTAATTATTTTGTTGTAAAGTTTGTATGGTTGGTTTTGTGATTAACAAAGCTTAGTGGGTTGTCAATTCCCCATGTTATCATATTGTCGCCTAGTTAGTAGATTTTTCTTCTAATTGTTCTTCATATTCTCCACCAAATTTATCCACTCCCTTTCATTTTTGTCGTATCTTAGTAGTTTACTGTCGTCAATTAACAGTATACCTTGAGCATATGTGTCTGTTTTGTGGCCACATATATCTCAAATCAAGTACTGAATGTTAGGTCAGGTTTGGTAGGTTTTCCTTAAAGGAAAAGCAAAGAAAGTAACTATTGCCATGAACGTAACTTTGGTTCCAAGGGGCCATGGCTATTCATTGACATGGGGCCAGTAAATATCCTTACTCAGTTGATCCATCACCTTCAATACAGATGGATAAACACATAATACAGCAAATTATATCGCGTGTTCTCATGAAAGAACAACGTTATTCCAGTATCAGACCACAGTTTGGTGCTTAATTTACGTGGTTATGAATTAAATATTAATGATAGTGTTTGATAGTTCAGTCAGACTGTTAAATCATGATTTAAACGTTCAATGAAAGGAGAACGTTATCCCGGTATCAAGGCAACTGATTTAGAAAATATATACATAGATAAACAATCCTCTGCTTAGTTTACGTGTTTGCTTATCATGGGAGATTTTTTTGACTTTGAATAAACTATACAGATTACATTCATATATATCCATATTATGATGGAGACTTTTAATTGCTATATTAATACATATATAGATACCCAGATGAAATATTTAAACAGAAAAATTGCCAGGTTTGGGTATTCATGGGTAAAATATTTATAATATGATTGGAAAATGAACTTTGCTAAGGTCATTAATGGTGACACAAAGGTTTTGTTATGGTTCCAGATTTTGCCAGCAAGATCTAAGTCAACATCAGTAATGAAATTTTTTTAATGAAAATGTAAAGCTAATTACATCAGAAAATCAGGTTGTTGAAAACGAAGACGACCGACAAATTGCATACTGTGCATACATGTATATACAAGAGCCTAAGGGTAAGATTAAGTCGGCCTACATTAAGATTCTCTTTTAATCTGAGCTTTCGACGTGCCAAAAGATTAAAGAGATCTAGCTTGTCCAAAATGTGATTAATATTATGTCAAATTGTGTTGACATGTTCATGGAAAATGCAACATCTTTGATGAAGTTTCTTCCTCCTGTCACATATAAACTTCTGATAATTGACCTGCATATTCTTATTCACATAAAGAAACAAAGAAATGAAGCTTCTCCCTGATAAGCTCCAATTAATATATGTCCCTACCAATATGACTTCATAGGTATTCAGTTATCTTACTCCACCGTCGAGGATTTTAGGACGTCCGGATCATATATAGTTCAAGAGTTGATCATATTTCCTCGAACCATGATTGAAGAACATAATTCAATTCAAGAGTTGATCATATTCTCTCGGACCATGATTGAAGAACATAATTCAATTCAAGAGTTGATCATATTCTCTCGGACCATGATCGAAAGGATGTTATTCTCTGTTAACAATACTCAAAGAATTTCTCTACTATTAGCACACATATAGCAATTATAGAAAACCAGAGATCATTCATTAATTATCTAACCGTTGTTAAAGGATATATATATCTGCCCTTGGTGCCAAAGTTGACATTCTACAACTCCATGGCAGAGCCCCAAACCTTCCAGTAAAACTATCCTTTCGTTGAATGTTTGGTATTGTGGACCAATTTTGGCAGCCATTGAGCAATTAAAACTTGATGCAGAGCACAACCAAACAAGGGAATTTATTGAAACCCAGGAAAGAACCAGAAACTCAAATTACATGCATGTTTGTCACACAGCTAAAGGACAAGGTCTTCAAGAAACGTTCTTTATTGTGGATGCTTCATGCCTTTGGATTACATCAAGTACTTTTCAAAATCATTTGGCAAGATCTTAAAGAGAACAAGAGAAGAATATCCTATGCTACAAATACCACATGTTTCTTCTTGTGCATTCCAAACCCATGAAACTACCACAGGACACCTAAAATTCAAACAGAGGACAAAAGTGAGGTGAAACACAAGTTATATGAAAAATATTAGGAGTATGTATTGATAAACGGATTTGGGTAGAAGCCACTTCCAAAAACTAGTTTCCAACCACATATGCAATGCTCGGCGTGCACGGCCAAGGTCATCAAGACCCACCATCCACCATCGCCATCTCCCCACCTCCAAACAAAGGTCACCAGGACCTACCATCCACCATCGCCATCGCCCCACCTCCAAGCAAAGGTCACCAGGACCTACCATCCACCATCGCCATCGCCCCACCTCCAAGCAAAGGTCACCAGGACCTACCATCCACCATCGCCATCGTCCCACCTCCAAGCAAAGGTCACCAAGACCTACCATCCACCATCGCCATCGCCCCACCTACAAACAAAGATGACTCTGATACCCTGAAAAATAGGTTTGGCTAGAACTCACTCCCAAAAGTTAGTGCTAGTGAGGAGGGAGCCCAACCACAAAGATTTGCCATAATAGCATACTAAATTGGTTACATAGGACAAATACAACTTCTAACATTTATGTTTATTAAATCAGTATAAATTTTATTAACGTGTATGATTTGCATGTGTTATATGATTAGATAGACGTATATGTGTTACACGTATTGACATATGTAGCCATTTCAACGAAGAAATTTTAATGTATTATTAATACTTAAAATTAAACAATAAAGATTGACTCACAACCTAATCTTACAAACTTTCTCTTACAATTTCAATGTGACACCTCGTAATTAGACAGTTGAAACTCATTGTTAGATAGGTGAAACCTATTGCGAGTTGACTAATTACAAACTACCATGTCATATCGTGAGATTATGTTATAAATCTAGTATTTCCATTTAAGTATCGTGTTGAGAACTTTCGCAAAATTAAAAAACTAAATCAAACCCTGAAATAGTTTAAGCCAGAGTTGTTGATACCCAAACTTTAAAGGAGCCATATCTCACGGTAAAACAGAAGATATAAAGAACATACTCTGTTTAAAACAGGGTAGATATTCAAAAAAGAAATTAACCAAAGTGTGTTTTTTAAAAATCATATCAGGGAAGTAAATCATCCAATGCGAAGTGAAATACCCTGAATCTGATACGTTGACTTCCATCGTCTTCTTCAGCAAAACCAGCCGCCCAACACAGAGCTCAGACTGTACAGAATAGAAGAGAACAATAATGACACATTTTGATTCAGAACATGCAGACCCTTAATCTTATCAATCAAACAGATTTAAAATACAATCAAATGAAGAGAAATGAAAATATAAAAATGGGATTTGGATTGTTTCATGCAAAGAAGTACAAAACAAGTGCTTTATCACTTCAAATTCTCATCGTTTCAATGGAGATAACATATTTTTAAAATGAACAGAGAAACAAAACCAGCCCGGGCCAGCCCGGGGACCCCGGACTTTACTCGGGTACTCGGACCGGGAATTAAGTCCCCGCCCCAGGCACTAAATGAAGCTACTCATTTACTGTTTTCTTGAAGAACGTTATCATTTTTAGAAACAAGAAGCCCTAAAGACTACACATTTGAAACGCGAAGCCCCTTATCATAAAGTCTTAAAACTCAGAACTGAAAGCATATCCTCTATTGTCTTTGATTGCTAGAGATATCTTGGCTATTCCATTATCCACGGCTGCATCTAAGTCTCCTTTCAGTAATGGCAATAGATTTTTAAGTCCACATCGTAGTAGACTTCAGCCAGACATATTGGAGGCTGTAACATGTACTCAAAATTGGTTTTGGGGTCAACACCAAGGTATGAAATTACTTCAACATTCTTTTCATAGTTATTATCATTAACATGGTCATTGTTTATTCATTGTTTTCTCCTTTCATAGGTCAAATTCCTGAATGTCAGATTGTTTCTGGGATGGAAGTTAAACATGATGAAGGGCCGTAGGATTGAGTTGAGGATGTAATGTTGAATATGGTTCCACTTTTTAACTTCTACTTTGATCTTTAATCTTCATTTGGTATGACACTGATTTCCACCAACACTTTATGGATTTGGAGGGTGTTTATGTTGCTAGTTTACCATTGTAATATAATATATTTTTGATGTATTAGGTGTAATTATGTGTTTATTAATGCATATCTAAAAATTTACTGACTTATTTTCGGACCATTTCTGGTTATTGTGCTTGCTCAGCCTGGTTTTGACAGGAAAGCTTCACCTTCCATTTCAAAGTTACATGAAACTTGCATAATATCCTATAATATTATAGAAATATAATTTCTCTTTTGCTTTAATTTATATTTTTCAATAAAAATATTTATAAACTCTCTAGGAGGGAAGTGCTCTATAAAAAAGGGAGTGTAGTAGTCGTTAAGAGTCCGTCTTCATAGTAGACGATAAAAAAGGGATTAGGCCATGGAGTTGTTGAATGTTTGGTATTGGGGACCAATTTTTGGCAGCCATAGAGTAATTAAAACTTGGTGCAGAGCACAACCAAACAAGGGAAATTAGTGAAACCCAGCAAAGAACTAGAAAATCAAAATGCATGCATGTTTTTCACACGGTCAAAGGACAGGAAATTAAGTATTGTAGTTCACACATCTAGAGGTCTTCTAGAAACTTTATTTATTCTGGATGCTTCATGCATTTAGCTCAAGTACTTTTCAAAAATATTTGGCAGGATCTTAAAGAGAACACGAGAAGGTTACTAACAACAGGTATTAAAAGAGTATCCTATGCTGCAAATACCACATGTTTCTTCTTGTGCATTACAAACTCATGAAACTACCACATGACAAGGATAAAAGTGAGGTGAAACACAAGTTATATGAAAAATACCAGGGGTAAGTATGTTTATTCAATCAGTGTAAACCATAAAAATGTGTATCATTTGCATTCATCACATAACTAGATAGATGTATATGTGTCCATTTTGAGTACACGACTTTCCCACCCAAAGTTTGCCTTAATGACACTTTCTCACAAAAAAAGATTCAAATATCACTTCTCAAAAAATAGTTTCGTTAGTAAATTTCATGTAAAAATGCATGATGGTTAAAAGTCCATTAAATACGGCAAAATGGTCAATTAAC